CACACACACACACACACACACACACACACACACACACACACACACACGCATTAGAACTGAAACTCATGGATCTGATCGACATCAAAAGATACCCCGCCTTTGTGTAGTGCAGATGATTTAATGGTAACTTTTGATGACTGAGTACATTATGTGTCAGTCAATGTTTATTGCTTAGTGTGTCTGAAAAGTAAGAGTGAATGAGAGGGAAGTTGGTGTACAGTTACCGTATGTGCTCTTTATTTAAAGGCACATACCATTCACTCCGTATGTCATGTCAATTTTTGGGGAAATGTCTGAAATGTTGAGAATTGAATTGATATTGAAGTTGGTGTTTTGTGATCCTGATGTTGATAATAGAATCTTTATTCATCATACTAGATGAAGTACCTTTATTTCTTTTGGGGGACATTTCAAAGTTTTGACGTTTCTGCAAATTCAGAATAAATCACTGCGTAAATATCTGTGTAATGATTTTCTAAAACCGCTCAGAACAAACCAAATGTAAACGTGCTTCAGTAACTTTGTCTGCCATTAATTCTGAATGCTTTGTGAAAACGTGTATCTCTCAACAAACATAATTATACAGAGAACCTAGATATTGTGTGTCTGAAAAGACAAAGAGAGAGAGGATGAAACAGGCCGAAGTGATGAAAGACCAATAGAGCGGGACACAGGGAAGAGAGATGCTGAGAGACGCTGCATTAGCTTTCTGTGTCCTCTAATGGTTGAGGGATATGGGATCTAAAAGGTTGAGTCATTAAGACGGGCGGTCAGATCCTGACAAGCAGCAATGATTTGCTGTTTCTACAGCCATCACTGTGTCCTAACGTGCACTCTGTATGTGTGTGTGTGTGTGTGTGTGTGTGTGTGTGTGTACAAGAGAGAAAGGAAGAGACGTATACAAATAACTTACAGCGATGGCCTGGAGTTTCTCCTCTTGGGACACCTCAGCCATCCTGAAGGAGAGAGAGAGAGAGAGAGAGAGAGAGAGAGAGAGAGAGAGAGAGAGATTTAACCACACATGACCACCGTCATCAGACATGACATGACCAGCCATTTACCTTCCAAAGACTTCCCGGTGACTGAGGTTAAATATGTGTCTGCTCGCGCTAAATCAGTGTCTCCTTCCTGTCAGGGAGAGTCAGTGAAGGCATGCTAATGCGCTAGCAGGACACTGCTGGAGATTCCTGCTCTAATAGGTTCCAGACCAGAGCTCCGGGTTGGAAGATGGACAGAAGCACAGCTGAGGCTAGAGTAGCAAGAGGACTGGTTGGTCGACTGAGACGGGAAAAAGCTATATATCAGGCTCCCTTAAAAAATCACATGTCTTGCATTAAGTTGTAGTTTCTTTCCTGTGGTTAATAGCTGACTTTATAACGTCATAAAAAGAGAAGATGTATATATAATAGGGAATGGCATATCATCTGAGATGACATTCCTATATATGATGACCCAATATGCACTTGTGTTGTGTAGGAATTCATTTAAAATGTGTGTTATTTTCATTTCGACGTTGGAGGGGGGTATTTACTGGGCAGATCCCAAAGTCATAGTCCCCCTCAGTAAAGGCTGTGTGTTTTTAAAGGGATACTATAAGCGTATAATACTATATAACCTTTCCTCATTCAACATGAGAATTGTTAGCTGGCAAAAATGAATTTCTTTTTCAAATTAAATCCACTTCAATTAAGATTAAGATTAGATCTAAAACAATTACTTGATTAATCTATTAATTGATCAGCAGTAAATTAATTTGACAATTTTGATTATCGACCAATTGAAAAAAACTGCAGATCTTTGGGTTTCGGACTGTAAGAGACCTTGGAGAGGTTGTCTTTCTTTTTTTTAACAGTTTTCTGGCATTTTATAGACCAGAAGATCCATCGATAACTCGAGAAATCAAATACAAAACAATCCATAATGAATATATAGAATGAATGACTGACATAAAATAATAAGGGATGACGTGTTACCTTAACATAGATTTAATTATGTTGTCATGATACAGTAGCAAGAGCCTCTATGAACATTACAGTGTGTGACTTGAATGTGTAAAGCAATGTAGCCCCAAGAAGACGCTCTTTCTACAGATCGGATGGCGGTTGATGAAGCACACCAAGCGGCTGCAGCATCTTAACAGCCGTGTGCCTTTTCCAGCCCGAACTGAAACTGTATCACAAGGCATATGGGATTCTGATTTCTCTGCACTGGTTCAAACCAAACTCTTACAAAACAACGATGACACAACTACACAACTCCCCACCCACCCCTCTCCACCGCCAATAAAAGGTGTTAAAACCGTTTGATCGTGTCACTCCTCCTGATGAGTGGCCAGGACACCCACTGTTACTGTGAGTTTGCTTGCATCATTTCCCAAAGTAATACGAACAAAGCTTGAATTGTGAACATGTCAACAGAGAAAATTGTTTCTATCTGTCCCCTTGCTGTAGGGTCGGTCACATTGCTACCCTCACAAAAGAATGCAAGGCAACAACACTGGCTCCTCTTAAAGCATAAAGAGGCATACATTTTCGGTCATGCATGTGAGCCCACCATCGAATCACATGTAGCTGTACGGCTCACAAAAACCTCAGGGGTTTATCATGGGAGGCCACTCTGTAACATGGACAATTCATGCACACACTCCCAGCACACTCATTCAAACACCCCACTGATCTCTGCTCTTCTACCAAACCACATCACCATCACATGGGGGAAACCACAATCATCTGATCACCCCCCCCCCCACACACACACACACTACTGTCTTGTTCACATATTCTTTTAATTTGTTTTTCGCCTTTAGCACTGATCCAGCACAAACAGGAAGAATTAAAAAAAACATCTGGAGATGCGCTGGGTAAAAGAGGCTGAATAAGGGAAGCCAGCACTGTAAATGAATCAATAATACAATATGTTGTGATGAGCTTCATCCAGGTACTGTTTATGCTGTTTGTCGACAGTGTTTTATAACTTATTTTCTCCCATCATTTTCGTCCCTTCCCAGCCCTCGGGTTGCGGTGGAAGCAGGGCAGTTAGCCGACTGAGCATCTGATTCAGTTCATCAGTGGTATGAAGGGGACCTGGAACCGCCGGCTGCCCATCCTGGCCCCCGAGAGGTCACTGTGAGCATCAGCTGAGACGAGGCAGAACACACCCACAGCGTAGCTATGACGTGTTTTTACATTATTTTAATTACGTCTGTTGGAAACATCAGATGTGGAAAATGCAGGGCACACGTGAGCGAATCCCAATCCGGGCACGCAACTCAAAAGTTTATTGGTGACAGCTTGCATATAAAACGTCCCAACATGAGAGTTACGTACATCCGAGACAAAATAAATGTCACAGGGCTCTTACTTTTTCTTTCAGTTCAACAGAACCTCTTTACCGTCTCATTTGTGATTTTTGAACACTTGATTCTATTTCATAATAACAGGGAATACATATTTATATAGATGTATTTGTATGTGAATTATACATAAACAAAAGTCTTCAGTCAACATAACATAACATTGTCCTGCTACTAATTTGTCAGTGTAATTAAACAAAATCCTGTTGCAAAGCCCATCGGCATTTATGAGCATCTAACTGGAGCTGGGTGTTGTTTAATTGTATTTACTTTGAAGACTATTGACATGTTTTTCTTCAACCATTTTTAAGAAAATAAGACAAACTTCTAATATCCACTGGTGTTAAATTTAGTATTGACACAATGCCATTATATGAGATATTTGGCTAAATAAAATAGTCAAAAATCAACAAAAAGAAAGTTCTTCCCTGATTTTGGGACATGGTTAACTGAAGGTCCACTTACTAGCTTTTTCCAGAGCTATCACCTGTTTTAGCTGCTATCTCCTGACTAGTTCCACAGATCACAGCTGAGTCATCTCATGACAACTGATGAAGATGAAAACATTTTGTTTAATTCAGTTAGTTGACATTGAGTTAAGACTACTTTGTCAAATCAAAAGTGAGAATCAAATAAGGAATTATCTGCTCAAAAAAAGAAGTTTGCGAGACTAAACAATCTGACAGTTTTGGTGCTACAGAGATTCAATACCAATGCCTAAACATAAAACAGTCTATCTCAAAGCAATCACCGCTCAAAAACAGTGGAAAATCTGCTGTGTGTCTCTGTGAGTTATGATCAAAACTACCCAGTTCGTGCCAAAGTTAACAACAGATGTCCACTGGACCGACAGAGTTAAGTGCTCAGACCTTCAAAGCTTGTCCTACCATTCAAACCTAAATTTGAATGCTAGCAGTGCTTCTCTAACCTCTGGGCTACAGCTGTAATGAATTTTTAAAGATGTGTTGGAAAAAAAATATGTCCACCTTGTCGGAACATCGTGGGCCTTTGTCTTGCTGCCTCCCTCATAAATTATGGACAAACAAGGAGAAAGGAAAGCAGACTCAAAGACAAGCATCTTTGCGGCATTGGTTAGAAGAGTAATTACATTTTCTGACCGAGAAAGGAAGACATCTAGGGAGGCTGGCAGTCACTCACAGACAGGCCAGCAGAAACATATTGAGACAGGATACAGGTCAACAGGACTGAGGGACAAAGCCATCTTAGCTGGCAGTCTACATACAAACAACAAACTAAAACTAGGGATGTTTTTTGTTGATATCTCAAGGCCGGTGCAGGGCAGAAGAAGTCAGGAAAACGGACTAATGACCAGCCCTATTCCCTGTTGAGTGCACTGCTGCTGTAGCATTTCCAGGAACACATTATCTGCCTGCATAGAGCACCAGCATCCTCTTCTAATAGCATCACAGTCCTCTGGCACCAGCAGTCACTTTACACACTCTCTATCTGGACTGAAATGCCCTAAAAGTGATTACCTTAATGTCCAAGGCGCTCAATGAATGATAATCCTGCTGAGCGTCTTTGTTTGGGGATGTCATGATGACCTAAAGCCCAACATGGATTTAAAAACCCTCCTCCAAGGTGAGAAGAAATGGTTTTGCAAAATGATTGTCCTTGCTGAAACTTTTAAAAGTTTGTTTTTTGTAAAGGAACCAAGTATGTTACATCCAATTGCATAATGTGTTCTGAAAAGTCGATTAAGAAACATTGTATTCATTATTTCCGCTACACAGTCTGGAAGAAAAAAAGTCAGCAAGTACACGCTGTACTGATCTGTACATGAGACCAGTCACACTGTGTGACTCTGGGACAGCCACGGGCCATCCACATGCGTCTATCTGTCGGGGCAGATTACACTGGTCTCATCACAGCTACTCTAGGATTAACTTAATCAAACACCACAACAGCCTTGAATTGGACTGATTCTGATCCTGCCTCCCACACTCACACATACTCAGATGAGCAGATTTTTTTTAGAGCTCGTTTTCTTGCATCTGTGCTTCATCAGATAGTAAACAATTGACCCAGCACAATGTTGCAACCATATGGGATGAAACAGAATGATAAATAACAAAAACATGAAAAAATAAACAAGAATATAATCATTTTCACAAGGAGAGTTATGAAAGGACGAGTCTTGTGATGTTCCATATTTCTGTTATTGTCAACAAATCTCATGGGACCAAAAAGAAAGATAAAATGATCAAGGAAGCATCGTGTGTTAAAGCCCTTATTTTTCTGTTCCAATGACCTTCACTGTTGAAAAAAATATGCTCAACATTAATAAGTCACAATGTTGATGTTAACATGTCCCTTCATTAAGATAAACTTGGACAGTGTAGTTTGCTTTAAATCAACCCCCAAAAACACCATCCCGCTGCCTTAAAAGCCCAATAGAGCAACGAATCCGCTGCTGAAAATAGCCCCCATTAAATCCACAACTTTGAGTAATGTCAACAAAAAAAGTCAAGATGGTTTTTTATTTTGTTTTTAAGTAAAAAAGTATATTTTCATGACATGTTTTTCAAGATTATGAATCTGTATGAATGAAGAGGCTTAGGGCCAAAGCCACAGACAGGCGGA